TGCATCAAAAGAAATTAGCTCAATCCGTTCCTTGTGATTCGGTTTAAGAGCCTTTACTTCTCTCTATCGCGATCCTGTTTTAGACGACTTTAAGGCAGCTTGAAAGGGGAGAAGTAAAATAAAGAGTAGAAGGTCTTTGGAAGGAAGCTCTTCGCCTTGGTTAACCACTATGATAAAGGATCGCTGGAGAAACATTTAGATACCTCTAGTGGTTTCAAGAAGCCAAATATATAACGCAATGTTTACGTTAACGTAACATTCTTCACCATCTTGTTAAGTAATAACTGGCCGAATTATCCTCAGCTACTTCCATTACATGTAGCACCTTCTCCCTTCCGGGTCGGATGTTTGTAAACTCCGGCTTTTACTGGGCACTTGGAGTGTTTGCCATGGTACACTTGAGCCACGATGGGAAGAAGTAAGAAAATAGGGGAGAAGACTGTTTGTTTGTTTAATCCAAAAGTCATTAAAGTTTTTAAATTTCCTTGCATTACTGTTTATTACTATGCGGCATTACATATGGGCTTTCATTCGGAGGCCTTAAATTGTAAATTCAGAAGCGAGTGGATCTGCCCCTTAATAGCTGTTTAATAAAATGGAAGGATATAGGAGAGTGGTTTTCTGGGAGGCAATTTCTAATACCGTGTCTCCTTTGACAGCTCTGCACATTGCGCACGAAGGTTACTTACTCTCGTGACCATGTATGCTGAGTTCATTCGACTAAGGCAACTGAGATACGGAAGATATGGTGGACACTCTACCAAAACAGATTGTAACAAGAAATTAAGTACAGTCAGTTAGGTGGTCAATTAGTTCCTTCCAGCCGTAAAAATATAGGCGTTTCAAATTAAAAAAAAACATCTACAACCATTTAACCTTAATTAGCTTGCGTTATCATTTTTAATTGCAATATGAAATTTTAACCTTTTTAGATTATTTAAAATCGCCTTTAGCAGAGCCATTTTAATGTAATAAATTAATCCACAAGGCGTTAATGGCAAACTTAAATCCATGTTAATCCAAAATTTGCATATTAACGATTTACCTCCATCTTAAGGCCAAATGCAGCTTCGTTTTAATAGACACGTATTTGGCCCGCATACTTCCCTAGAGAGGAGTTAATTTCGTAATTTATTTAAAAGTGTGAATGGCTGTGCTATCAAATCAAGGACACAGAATATGGGAAATAACTTGAAAGATTTTGGCTGCTAATAATTTTTTGTTCAAAATCATTTTATATGCCTTAAAAACATTCCATTCCATCTACTTAATTGCAAATAAGTAGCATAGTCGAAGGAGTAGGATTTGTTTTTCCTTAAAATGATTCTTCCTAAGTCTGAAAGTTCAAATTTTTAAGTAAGCATAGTAAAATTAGGAATTAAATTGCTAGCTCGGAAAAAATAAATCCAGTCGGGACATACCTGCTGCTTTGAGAAAAAAAAGGCCTTGAAGAGGAGTAAATTATAGCCCTCTTCAACTCTTTCCCCACCCAAAGGCCCATAAAATATGCCTATGTTGAATGGCAGCAAGTTGACTTGCAAGATAAATGAACTTAGCTTTCTTGGAACCCATGAAACACGATTAAATGTTTATTTTCATGCTAATTTTTCATTTCCGAAATATGGGGCATTTTTAGTGAGTTGGAAATTTATTATTTTGAAGGAAGCAAAGCTGTAAAAATGACATTCTAGGCGTTTCATTGTCCCACTTGCACGAATTGAAATCAAGGACAAAGACTGAGGAGATGGAGCAGAGCATGGGCAAGACCAAGTGCTGAGCCTTTTAAGTGGCCATAAGTTGTGCAGTTGTCTGAGGCGTAAATATACAACAAAATATGGCAAACTTATGCTTCTTTTAATTAGTTGGAAAATGTTCACTCTTGTGCTAATTTTGTCTCCGGAGTTGAGGACACACATCCCTCCAATGTGCTTGTCCAACGACAAAAAGGGTTGATAGGCATCACTTGAAGAAATGAGGGGAGAATAAGAGGGATGTAGGGCGTGTTACTGTCACGGCCTTGTGCTTTGCATGCTTGTGTATCTTCAAGGCTCAGTTGAGCTCGCTTTGAACAGGAGACATTGTCAACTGTGCAGTTTCTGAACTCAAAATAGCTGGGAGGGAGCACAGTGGACAGCAGAGCCCACCAACACACATCTATTACGTAGAATAAGCAGAACAATTAGACTATTCTGCAAGCCTATGCGATAAGTCATTGAAGCAGGCTGTGGGAGAGATCGCGTTTGATTGGCTGATCGCTTGTCACCGCCTATCATGGAAAGATGAGTCACCGAATTCAGAGATATGGGAGATAAAAAGAAAATTTTCTTCTCAAGCTAAACATAGTGCGTTGGTGACTCTTCATTTCGGTTAAAAAGGCTGAAAAGAAATAGCAAAATTAGTTGTTTAAAAATTACTTTTAGTCCGTGAATTAAAATGAACAAGACTGGAACAAATCTTCCACCAAAAGGACCCTTTTGGACACGCACAGCTTAAGGAAGCTGTCAATTCCTACAACTGTCGCTCCTCCATACAATTAAGCGGAGTTAAAGCATTTTTGTGGCAGCAAATATGGATAGACTTGGCATTTGTTTCAACTTGTCCCCCTCTTTTATCAACCATTGACAAGGCAAACAATTCAGTGGACGCAAATGTAACCGTGTTAATAGTTGAGCTACAAATGTTTATATCTGCCCTCATTACACTGTCAGTTTTAGATTAAATTTTCACAACAAAATAATTTTGCTAGACATGGGGAGGAGCTACCCTTAAAACCTTTGCACACCGCAGCAGTCAATTAGGCAAGAAAGGAGAAAGGGAAGGGGAAACCGTAGTAACCGCCCTTCAGCATTAAAATCGGTTGACAATTTCCTCACATTTTAGGATGGCAATGCGATCTATGAACCCTTTTAGAAGAAGTAGATGAGCATTTTGATTGTTGCATTGCAGCCATAAAAGTTCAGAAATCTTGCTTCAAGATTAACCAACAAAATGCGGAAGATAGGTGCGACCACCCGTGCTCCTCCACTCATCGATGTGTTTTAAAAAAACTTGGCCGAGTGAATAGGGAACTCTTAGAAGCAAAACTGAGTTAACACTTTAAAAGGGTAATTGCCCAAAGGTTGAGTGGACGCTATCTATTCCCGTCTGCAGTGTCTGAGAATGATAGTAAGAAAGGAATTGTTGCATTCCATCCGCATTCCAAGCCACTCAAAGGCGAAGAGGAGACGATTTAAGGATTTGAGCCCCTCCTAGAGGCGGAAGTGGAACATGCGAATTCGGAGAAGAGGAAGGACAGCGACTACTTGCGCGGGTCAGGGGAGAACCCACCCAGTGAGTGCGAAACCGCGACTTAAACAAACAACTGATCCGCACCTTTAAAACCGCACCGATTTATCAAGCACTAAACTATCAATTTTTTTTTTCGTCAAGCGTATAATAAGCAGAAAGGTTGGGTTTTTAGTGAAGTCAAATAGTGACAAACACTTCTAGCGT